AGCCTATGCTGGTGACCAGGGGTCTTATTCAAGTATTGGAGCGAGGTTTTTGTCTCTATACTCGGCGAGACGTGGGGTCGGAAGGCTCAATTTAGGGTTTAGGGTTTAGAGTTTAGGGTTTAGGGTTTAGAGTTTAGGGTTTAGGGTTTACTGGTTGGTAGCGCCCTTAACAGCCTGTAGTGGTCCCCTTAACTCCTAAACCCTATATAATCCTTAAAGGGGAGTTATATACATCTCATGGGGAGGAGCGGGAGCCTATTCCTCCCTGCTTTACTGGTTACTAAGACTTAGTAAGAATGGAAAAGAAAACGGAAGCTACTATTTAGGGTTTTGGGTTTAGAGTTTTGGGTTGGGATTCTGTTGGGATAATGGAAACGACTACAGGGATTCTAAGGATATATAGGGGTTATATTGGGATAATGGAAAATAAAATGGAAACTACTGTAAGGGAGGATCAAATGGAAGAGAAAATGGAAAATGAAATGGAAACTGCGTATATACCTCCAATATAATGCCTATATTACCCGTGTATAATTTGCTCCAGTGCCTAAGCTGCTAAGGATGTTCCGTGACATTGATGAAGACGGAAGTGGTATTGTCAGCTTGGCAGAATTTGAAGAGGCGGGTTTAGGGTTTAGGGATTAGGGTTTAGGGTTTAGGGATTAGGGTTTAGGGATTAGGGTTTAGGGTTTAGGGATTAGGGTTTAGGGTCGCAGCCGCTCTGGGCACAGTCCAAACTGGACACCACCAGTGGCGGGACGTTATCACACGGGGCCTACTGATTTCAGCAACTGCAACTTTTTCTGCGTGCTATTGTGAACATCACGATTCTTATCACTACTCACTACTGTTGGCCTTCGTTTTTCTGTGGGCCTTTGTGGTTGTGTGCTGTGGGCACTCATAGATGCAGGCCTTCAAGGACCAAGCCATCTGCGACAAGTTCCTGATGCTCGGGTGTAGCCCCTGGCTGACTACAGGGAAGGTAGTGTAGAAGAGCGCATGATTACCAGCCGTGTACCCCAAAGCCCGATTCTACTTCTTTAGGCCGCCCATGTTGCAGTTCCCGAAGATGGATGGTCACCTGTTGAGGTGTTCAAGGTGATGGACTGAACTCGTATCATCAATTTTGTTGGGGCTTGAAGTTCTAATTCACTTGAGCGGATTATTTATGAAACTGTAATGTGGATCGAGGTTGAAGAAGGAGCAGGCTATGGAGCTTTTCTCTCTGCTGGACACTGGTGGAGAGGCAGGTTAGAGATTTGCCAGGATGCAAGTTTGGGGTTTAGGGCTGTGGGTTTGGCGGTGAAATCCTTAGGGATTCTGAAGATGATAGTTATACAGATTGCGTAAGGCTACAGGTTTTTCGTACTACCTTTCTAAGACCTCATTCATCTGTGCCAAAAACCTAGAGGCCACTCTTCTATCCAATCTAGCACGATCTTAGTCTTTTTCTACTTCACTCTCATCATATTCTGATCAAACAACATGAATAAAAACGTTGTCTTTTTTGCTCCTATCGTTTTCCCATGATTTGCTAGATGCCAATAAATTTTGTCAGGCGTGTATGGTTCTGTGTGAGCCTTCATGATCCCTTTTGTTTTCCTAATCTTTCTGAAGCCTTACATATCTCCTTCGTACCTAAGCCCGTCTACTGCTTGCACGGAGCCTAGAAATCTGACCAGAGACTCAGATGAGCATGCCGCTGAATCCAAATAGGTCTTCTCATAGGCCTCAAGATAACATGACTAACGCCATCCGCGTGCCGGAGGTTGGTAGGTGGAAACCTGTAGTAGTTCCTAGTCATCCCTAAAACCCTAAACCCTAAACCCTAAAGTGATAGACTCCGCAACCCATAGTCCTTGTCGCCACCAGTAAGACCATGGGGACTCATGTTGATCAAGAACCCTTCTATGCCGTGGCCAGGGGGAGCTGGACCTGTCCGAGTTTATGCAAGGCAACCCCAAGAGTTTGCACTTGTATGAAACGGTTCATGGCGTTGGGTCTAGGCTGTAGGGCCTCGGGATGATTCTATCATGACAGAGCGGTAAGAAAGGCATGTCATTCCTAGTTCTTCAGGCTTTTGCTATAGTCCCTTGCGGGGCTTGGGGTTGAGGGGTACACCTGCAATTAAATGTGCATGCATGCATGCATGCATGCATGCATGCATGCGTATGTACGTACATACAGACATACATACATAAGGATGGACGAACCGAAAGACAAACTGACAAACCGACAGACATATAGACAGAGGTGGGCAGGGAAGCAGGCAGGCAGGTAGGCAGCGTCTAGTGGTTGATCATTGCGATCATGGGTGTGCACAAGTTACAATTCCTTCCCAGCAGATGGAGACCGTAATTTTGATTGCAACGCACATGCCAACATCTATATGTATATTCAGGTTATATAGGGGTTACATAGGGATAATGGAAAGGAAAATGGAAACGACTATATAGCATATTCAGGCATGAGTGATTTTTGGGAGCTTGAGGAGGAGAGTTTTGACGGCCTGCTCTTGGGAGGCATGTCCCAGCTGAAGGGGGTTGCAAAAAACAAGGACTGCTGTGCATGGGTGGGGGTCGAAGGGGTGCAAGGTAGGCACAGGATAAGGTACAGGGTTGGGTGTGGGGGTCCTTAAGGGGATTCCTAGAGAGTCTCTTGATTGGCAGCATGCTGGACATCTTCATCCTGAGACTTGACTTGCCTCTCCAGACAGGACATGGTCATGCTCACGAAGGGCATTGAACGTCTTGGCAAAGGCATCAACAGGCGCACAGGGCCTTCCGTAGCCTGTCTCGGCCTTGTGCAGCTCCAGCCCATCCTGTTCATGGAGCAAATCTTGCACCACCTAAAGTCCGTAATGTCGTGTAGTTCAGTTGTTATCTCTCATTGCTCGCGGTACGTAAGGTCGTGCAAGATTGTACCCAAACCTTGAACCCTAAACCCCAGACCCCAAACCCCAAACCCCAAACCTTAAACCCTAAACCCTAAACCCCAAGCTGTCCCTGCCAGGATTGGAGAGAGCATGGGTGTGCAGGGCGCCAAAGACGAGCCTCAGGTCGGAGGGCCTAGTGCCGGGTTAGGGGGTTTAGGGTTTAGGGTTTAGGGTTTAGCTTTAGGGTTTAGGATTTAGGGTTTAGGGTTTAGGGTTTAGAGTTTAGGGGTTTTGGGGTTAAGGGGTTAGGGTTTAGGGTTTAGGGGCTCGGGTTTAGTAGTCAATAATGGAGAACCAAATGGAAAAGAACATAGAAAATGAAATAGAAACCCTAAGTCCCTACTTTAGGGGTATATAGGCATATTACCCCCCCAATAATGGAGAATCAAATGGAGAAGAAATTGGTATATAATATTGGTTTATGTAGGGGATTACAGGGGTTATCTTACACCGCCCCCAAAAAATGCCCCCAAAAAACGGTCTCATCCGCTGTGAGAGGGACCTCCCAAACAAGGACCCTCACATGGAGACTTGAGAGCGGATGCCTCGATTCTAGCACGGGATTTTCTCAAAACGCGGTGTTTGAGGTTCCAGGATCTTTAAAAGATTATGGGGAGCCCTTTCAGGGTTTAGGGTTTAGGGGCTAGTATTTTCTACGGTTTTTTTTAAGCAGCTGTCACGTTGATGCTTGGAGAGCCGACCATGCCCAAGGCAGCTGCATTGGCTCACAGATACCAACAGATAGCATTTTCATTCCTACAAGGAAACCGCAACTTGAAGCTTCGTGAAGGAACCTAGCTAGAAATCCTAACCTTCATTCGTCTAGACCTAAAACCCCAGACCCCTGGGAGGATCTAAAAATTAGATCCCCTATATAGACCCATTATAACCCCTATATAATCCTTATATAATTTCCCCCTATGATTCTAGGGGATCTAATTTTCAGATCCCTTTGGGGGCCTGGGTACACATCTGTGTACAGCAGAAGCGCCGGACAAGCCCAGCATGGCACAGCCTGATGCCATCAATGGCAAGATGGAGCCCCTTCGATCCAGCTGCCCGTTTCTGGAGCAGGAGGCCGGAGTTATATGAGCTATAGTCTAAACTCCTTAAGGGGGGGGTTATGTAGGGGATATTGGGGGGTTATATGGGAATTATATAGGTTATATAGGGCTAATGGAAATGGAGACTACTATTTAGGGTTCAGGGTTTAGGGTCTAAACTCCTTAAGAGGGGTTGTATAGGGGATTATCTAGGGGACTACTATAGGGTATATCAAGGGGGATACTAGGAGTTTAGACTATGGCGCATATTGGAACAATGGAGAAGAAAATGGAAACTACTGTATAGTATATTGGGATAATATTCGAGCTCTATTTAAATCCAGCTGCCCATTTCTGGAGCAGGAGGCCTCATGAAAGAGTCTTAGGTCCTCTCCAAAGGCAGCCAAAATCCATAGAAAACCTTGGGTACTGCTCCCACTCAGTAACAGTTGGATAATAATTATATTATGGTTATATATAGCCCTTAATAGGACCCCTAATATAGACTGTTACTGGGTGGGGGCAGTACCCATAGAAAAACTGCTATAGCCCAGTTGTCTTGTTATACCGAAAGCGGAAACAGACTTTCGAATCGAAGCGCCATGCCTCGAACCCGAAGCCTTGAAATGAAGGGTGCAATTAGGGTTTTAAGGGTTTAGGGGTTTAGGGTTTAGGGTTTAGGGTTTTAAGGGTTCAGGGGTTTAGGGTTTTAAGGGTTTAGGGTTTTAAGGGTTTAGGGTTTTTTGCTTAGGTTTCGAATTCCACGAGCCGAATGAAGCCCCACCGAGACTTCGGGAATTCCAGCAATCTCCTTGTGTGTAGGCCCGGCTGCATCTGCCCTACGATGTGAAGAACTCAGTTTACCTGGAGGTTCAGTCGAACGAGGACTCGGAGACATTCTTCGTTTCTATGGGGGAGTTAGGGTAGGACAGCACATCCTAGAGTCTCTTGCAGTTGCGCTCTCGTATATAACGCAGGCGTTTCGTGGTAGACCTGCCTGGCTTAGCTTTGGTGTGTTGTACACAGTCTGTGGATCATGTAAGGATAAGGACAACCCATTGTAAGATCAGCAATGCTAGTAAAATTATGCATGAGCTAAACACTGAATACTTGGACTACCTCAAGGATATTGGTAGTACAGCATATATGGGTCATGCAGGATTGTACACATGAAAAGCATGGGACCCATACTTCCAGCCAGAAGTTCGAGACACTTCTTTTGGCAGGAGCCTCTCTTTAGCTATATCTTGCGCTACGTGAGCAAATCTGCCGGGGCCCCTGTTTTTTGTTGGGTGACCATGGACCCTAAACCCTAAACCCCAAACCCTGAACTCCTAAACCGCTAAACCCTAAACCCTAAACCGCTAAACCCTAAACCCTAAACGCTAAACCCTGAGAATGCGAGGTCCAGGATGCAAGAAGCATCCGAGCAGACATGGGCAAGGGCAGAGGCCTGGGAGTGTTTGGGCCGCAGCTCCACTCTTCCTGCTTTTCTTCCTAATTACAACAACAACAACTACAACTACAACTACTACTACTACTACTACTACTACTACAACTACAACAAGTCCGCAGCAGTTTTGAGGAACTACCAATGGCAGAATTAAGGCAGACGACGACGAGATCGATGATTTGCTGGTGATGGTGAAGGGCAAGGGCAAGGTGGGACGCAAAACGAACGAAGATTCTGATCCTCACGTCCTGTTATCATCTGTTTGAAGTGTCTCAAATGGTGAATGCTGTTAGGAGGCTCCTACATTCCACAGAATCCCCAACGCTGGGAAGGATTTTGAGCCAGGTTGGAGGAGCCAGTCGCAAGCGCAAGCGAGAGGTTCAAATGCCTTCAGGCAACATCGGGCTTGGCCTCGCGGTTGAAATTCAGTTTCTTTGCTCCTGGAGCCCTGGACTATCCTGGACTAAATTTGCAGTATATCCCTTAATAGGCCCCCCCCAAAACCTACATAGTCCTCTATAGGTACCCCCCAACTTAATTTTAGTCGGTAGCTCAAATGCTGTCTGCCCAGCCTTGCCAACGAGAATTCTCAGCCTAGCTTCTTGCTGACTAGGATTGAGGGTCAGGGAGACTTAGTAAGTAGGTTAATAACCCCTATAAACCATATAGTAAGCCCATTTATCCGCATTATTAACCTACTTACTAAGTCCCCGTGACCCCCCCAAGTAGGATGGAGGTTTCTCAAGAGCAGTAGTGACTTTGGGAGCTCCTGCTGTCACTTAGCCATTTGGGGATATATGGGGGAAGCCCGTTTTTCTAGTTCATATCCGCGACCCAAACAGAGCCCGACTGCAACATCGAAGGGGCACAAAAACTCATTGACAACATAAAATATAGTCCAAACTCTTGAAAGAGGGTTATGCAGGGATAATATAGGGGAGTATTATAGGGGTTATCAAGGGGGATACTATGAGTTTAGGCTACAGCTCACTTGCTGATGCCTAGGTTGGCACTCCTTTGACTTCCAGTGGGATGAGGGCAAGACCAGCAAAGTGACAGTTGTTCTCCAGCGCATCGGGCAGCCAACAGGCATGACAATTCAAGAGTTTATGGGCTTCTCGTGGCGAGATTTTCCAGGTGGTATAGAGATCATGTTGCCAGATGCAAGCAGGTGATGGTCCCTCTTTCTTCTCTTCCTTGGTTCTCTTCGTGGAGGGCACCGATCAGATGCCACTTCTCAAATTGTGCCAGAAGGTGTGCCCTGCAGAGTCGTGCGGGAAGACTACAATAGTTCTCGAGCTGTCGTCATACATGTTGGGATTCCGACGAAAGCTGCTGCACACAACCGCTGCTTGGTACGCGGCTGCTGGCAAAACAAAACATCATCATCATCACCATCATCATCATCATCATCATCGCCTTCTCCACCGCTGTGCCGCGCAACCAAGCCAAATCCACTAGTCTGCCACGCTGCCACGCTGTGAGCTGCCATACTTCCACACCGCCACGCTGCCACCAAGCCACACCGCCCAGCACCACGCAGCCCCACTGACCCACGCCCCACCGCCCATATACGATGGTAGTTTCCATTTTCTTTACCATTATCCCTTGATAACCCTAAATAATCCTTATATAACCCCAAATATACCCCTATATCATCACCACTGTCCCACCATTTGTTTCGTCCTGCAACTTTGTTTTTTGAGGACTGGCATTTGTCATTCCTATCCTTACCAATCACCCCTGCACCAAGAGATGTGCTTGTGGCTGTGAGAGGCGGCCGACAACGAAACCAAGCAGAAAGCGCAAGGCACTAAGCTCTTCTTCCCAGACCCCCTAAAGGATCCAAAAAATGGAACCCCCTAATAATCCCCTAGTTTCCCCAATGTAGTAATGGGTTCATATTGGGGGGCTCCGTTTTTGGATCCTTTACGGGGTCTGGGTTCTTCATCCAGGCAGGTTCTCCCGGAAAGTGAGCCATGCATCGCAAGCCCAGGAATCGAGTCTCCCTGTGGAGATTCGATACCAAGTATCTGGGAACAAAGTTTAATATTTTTTATGGATACCTGGGCCCAATATCAATAAAAAAGATCTGTTTAAATTGTAGTTCAGCAAGAACCCAGGTATCACTTCTGGTCGCGAATCTCCAGGCGGATGGCACGAAGTCTGGACAGCATTGTGCTGGAAGAAGGAACTTCGACGGGAATATGCTTTCAGGTCAACAGTCTGGACCTTTCTCGTTTGGTCCCGATTAGAAGGATCCTGACTTTGGATTAAGAAGCACGATCAAGTCTCTTGCGATTGTTTGTTCATATATAGTCAGTCCCCCTTAAGTAGATAGAATATGGGGTGTATGGGAATCTGATTATGACATACCCAAAGCCGTATTCTAGCTACCTAAGGGGGACTATAGGTTCACTGATTTGGGTCCAACCCAGTGCCCTCCGGGATGTCTCTCGAACAGCACGGAAGACGTTCCTGTGCAATGTACCTCCTTCTGCTGTAGTAGCTTCCATTTTCTTCTTCATTATCCTTATATAACCCCATTATGCTATCCAATATTCTCTTATTACCATGCATGAAGCTTTGTAGAACCCAGGCGTGAAGCGCCCCCTGCTGGACGACCTTGAGTGGTTCCTGAAAGATGAAACGCGGACTTTCTATGCCAAGCATGGGATCCCGTATCATCGCTGCTACCTGCTCCATGGTGAGCCTGGCACGGGGAAGACGTCTTTCATGAATTCCGTTGCGGGCCATATTCAGCGGAACCTTTGCTTCATCCAGATGGACAAGCACATGACGGATGACACATTCAGCCTCTTGGTCTTGTCAGCACTTCCCCCATGCTTGCAATGCAGTTCTTTTTAGCAGGTTCCTCGGCCAGGCCATAGGCCCCTAGCACGCCCAGGAAATGCCATGACGCAGCTTCCGGCTCTGTCTATGGTGGTGCTCGAGGACGTGGACGCCCTCTTCACGAACCACCGTGAGGCCGACCACAACAACTCATCTCTGCCTCTTGGACCCACAGCTTAGGGTCTGGGCTTTGTAGGGCTCAGGCCCAGCCCTGCACCCTGAACTGTCTAACGTTAGGATGCTTAGGGCTCAGGCTCTTTGTCACAGTTCCATGTGGAGCAGCTTAGATCCTTCAGCGGGTTCCTGAACTGCCTGGATGGCCTTGGGGCTCCGGACGATGTAGTGATCTTCATGACCACCAACCATCCGGACAAGCTGGTTGCCACCTCAGTTTCATGTGTTCATGGTTCAGGTTAAGGGTATGGGTTTTGCTACTACCCCTGAATCCCCAAAGAAGGCTTCAAGAAGGCTGAATCCAGGGCTGTTTGTAGTTTGACTGGGCCTTGTTGGGAGGACCTCAGAGAAAGGATCCGCAGTCTTGGGAACTCCCCGTATCTTTTCTGAGAACTTCCCACCCTCCACAAGCCCTAAGCCCGAAATCCCTAAACCCTAAACCCTCCATAAGCCCTAAGCCCTAAACCCTAAACCCTAAACCCCTAATCCCTAAACCCCTAAACCCCTAAACCCCTGAAAACCCCT